AACAATTATCAAACTCATTTCATTTTTTATGGAATTTCCATAAAGATATGANAAAAAAAAAAAAATGTCTTGAAAAAAAATTCTTTTAAATATCTAATTTTCTCTTTGAAATAGTACAACTTAGTCCTGAATATTTCTTTTATAAAACTAAAAATAACGAAAATATTTAGTTTTTTCTATTTGAATGCTGCATGCTATATAAAATAAAAAAATGCATACCTCGGAAAAAATAGGTTTCTCACTAATTTCTTTTAATTCGTATAAAAGTACTTCTAATGTATTAAGTGGTAACCAGACTGCCATTTGAGTTACAGATGTTAAATATGTTTCAAGACCAAAATTTTCTATACCATTACCCAAAACAGCATTAATGTATTCAATTCCTAAGTCACTAGCTTCTAATATTCTACCAGTATTTAACATAAGACGAAGAAGTTCCGCAGCATTTCGTTTCTATAATAATAATAAAAAAAAGTTTTAATTATATAAATATGAGTAAAAATTTTTAAAAAGTTATTCACCTTATACGATATTAATAACCATTGAGGTATGAACGCTCTTTCTTGAAGTAATTTTCGGGCTACAGCTTTATGTAATTCGCTACATCTATCTTTTTCATGTTCTAATGTCAAATATTCTAATAATCTCCAAGCAGTATTTGTAATATTTGTATTGGATAAACCAATATCAAATATATCATTTTGAATAAGCCAATCCCATGCATTTGAATCTTCTCCTCGACTTAATCGTATACATTGTGAAGTTAAACTTTCAAGTACAGAGCTTTTATTAATATTAAATTCATCACATAAATGCAACGCTGTTGTATATAATCCAATAGTTGATAGAATAATAATAAGCTCTGAAGGTCCAGCATGTGAAACAATATCTGAATTCATTTTTGATACTTTCAATCTTGCATCTACTACATAATATTCTTTTTTTATATCATTTAATTCAAGAACTTCAACTTGTTTCTTTATTTTATAGTGCAAAATATCTTCATTGCTGATACTTTTCCTTGTTTGAGAAATTTCATAATCCATTTCCTCTAAATAATTTTGATCAATTACAGGTCTAACAATCCATCTATACTTTTCAGAAACAAGATGTAATGCATTAATACATGCTAATAAACATTGAGCTTGTCTTGATACGATTACAACAGATTGTGATTCTTGGCTCAAACGCATAGCTTGTTCATACATCACTGATGCAGCTGTAAAACAAATTAATTATAATATAAAAAATGTTTATTTGTTAATATCATAGATCAAAGTTTAATACCTTTCCGCATATTTCCTTTATTTATATGGAAGCTATATAAAAAATTGTAATAATTATTTTCCATGAGATCCACGCTTCGGGCTCTACCTTCTACTATTCTTTCTAAATCTTCGTACATATCAACATATGGAAATGAAATTAAATCTATTAATTTTTTTCGTTCAAACAGAGTTACTACTAATTGTCTCAAACAATCTACTCTACGCGCGGCATCTGGATTCGAATTTAAACAATTATAAGCTTTGATATGATGACCCAAGTTTAAATGTTGCACAAATACTATTGAATGCAATGTTGGTAAATTAGGATCATCTTTATCAGCTATTAATATAGCTGTTTCAGCGAGTTCTATGATGCAGTCAAAAGCATTATGTTCTTCAAATAATCTGATAACTTTTAAATAATATTGAATTAACGAACTATTTTCAGATAGTACACTGGATTCGAGTAAGGCATCTGCTAAAAATTCATCCGTCAAAATTCCTCCAGAAGCTCGGAGAAAATGATCGCATGCTTTTTGCGCTTCTCCCATTTCAAGTAGCGCGACTGCTAAAATAAATTTTCTCGATGCAATGTTCCATTCACACCATGTATTTAAGAGTCTTACATATTCTTGAACCAATAAAAATTGACAACTAGATAGTAGCCATTCAGGAAAGATAAAATTTCCCGATCTTGGCCAACTAAT